AGTCAACAGTTGTGAGTCGTGTGTAAACCGTTTTTCATTTATAAAACAGGGGGTTTGCGGGTGGATGGATGGACTTTGGGTCTTTGTTTATGAGGACGAGCTGTTACACACGACTCACAACAGCTGAGGCTCAAACATTTGTCGAACAGTGCTTCACAGATCTCACCATGGATACTAAAGGATGGAGCAGAAGCACTGTGCCTGCCACTCTCCATGGTGTATAACAAATCACTGGTAACAGGTGAACTGCCAACAATTGGAAGACGGCTGATGTAGTTCCGATACACAAGAAGAGAATAGACAGGAGGCACTGAACTACAGATCAGTGTCCCTAACCTGGCGAGGCGTCACCAGTGGAGTCCCGCAGGGGTCAGTCCTTTGGACCTATACTGTTTCTGATACATGTAAATGATCTCCCAGAGGGTATAGAATCGTTCTTCTCGTTGTTTGCTGATGATGCAAAAATTATGAGGAGGATTAAGACAGAGGAAGATAGTATGAGGCTATAAGATGACCTAGACAGACTGAATGAATGGTCCAACAAATGGCTACTAAAGTTAAACCCGAGTAAGTGTAAGATAATGAAGCTAGGCGGTGGAAACAGTAGGCCAGACACAGGATACAGAATGGGAGATGAAGTACTTCACGAAACGGACAGAGAGAAAGATCTAGGAGTTGATATCATACCAAACCTGTCTCCTGAAGCCCACATAAAAAGAATAACATCTGCGGCGTATGCGAGGTTGGCTAACATCAGAACTGTCTTCAGGAACCTGTGTAAGGAATCATTCAGAACCTTGTATACCACATATGTAAGACCAATCCTGGAGTATGCGGCCCCAGCATGGAGCCCGTACCTTGTCAAGCACAAGACGAAGGTGGAAAAAGTTTAGAGGTATGCCACTAGACTAGTCCCAGAACTAAGAGGCATGAGTTACGAGGAAAGGCTGTGTGAAATGCACCTCACGACACTGGAAGACAGAAGAGTAAGGGAAGAAACGATCACTACCTACAAAATTCTGAGGAATTGACAGGGTTGAAAAGGATAAACTGTTTAACACTGGTGGTACGCGAACAAGGGGACACAGGTGGAAAATGAGTACCCAAATGAGCCACAGGGACGTTAGAAAGAAGTTTTTCAGTGTCAGAGTAGTTAACAGATGGAATGCATTAGGCAGTGATGTGGTGGAGGCTGACTCCATACACAAATGTAGATATGATAAGATCCCAGTTGGCTCAGGAATCTGTACATCAGTTGATTGACAGTTTAGAGGCGGGACCAAAGAGCCAAAGCTCAACCCCCGTAAGCACAACAACTAGGTGAGTACACACACAGGCAAAAACCCACACACAACGGACCTGGTCTTCCAGTATCTTCCATGTATATATTTTTTGATATCTTTCTCGTCTCCTTTCCAGAGAGTACATTTTGAGAGCTCAGAGATGGTCCCAATAATTTAGGTCCGTTTTCGCCTCTCTTTATGCCTTATATGTTCTCTGCATTCCCTCTAATTCAGAGATCTCTCCTGAAGGATGGAGTGAGTACTGAGCAGTACTCAAGACGGGACAACACAAGTGACTTGAAGAGTAAACAATTGTCTTGGGATCTCTGGACCTGAAGGTTCTCGTAATCCATCCTATCATTTTTCTGGCTGCCGCAATATTTGCTTGGTTATGCTCCCTAAACGTTAGGTCGTCGGACATCATTATTCTCAAATCCTTGACATGCTGCTTTACATGGTGACAAGTGGAGAGAGAACTTGGCCAACCAGGTTGTTATAGCCTCTGCTGGCAGGCTCACACATCAACTACAGCCCGGTTGTTCAGCTACCGTTTGGAGGTATTTATCATGTTTCCTGTCACCTTTGGAACACCGTGACACCAGACTTGCTGGGACACCTGACTTTCCTGGGACACCTGACTTTCCTGGGACACCTGACTCTCCCAGGGACACCTAACTCTCCCCGAGACACCTGACTCGTCCCGGGACACCTGACTCTCTCCGGGACACCTGACTCTCTCCGGGACACCTGACTCTCTCCGGGACACCTGACTCTTCCAGCCGACAACGGATTTCCTGGGCCCACTTCCGCCGTGATTTCGAGGTGAGCACAGGTGCGCCTGGGGCAGGCTTGTGAGGGTGACGGGGGGAGGTGGGGGATTGTCAGCGGGAGGGGGAGGTGACAGGAGAGGAAGTGGCGTGGAATAAAGAGGCAGTAATGGGCAGGAAGGAGAGGAAGAGATGAAATGAGGAGGTGGGGAGGAAATCAGAGGGAAGGTTGTAGGATGGAAATGGCGCTTCTCTTTGTGAAACACCAGAGGAGGAGGAGGAAGAGGACCCAGCACCCAATAAAATATACACTCCCAGTCGAATATATTACGGATACCGCCAATCTAATGGCAACAGCGATTACGTCAGACGAAGATGTCTCAGTTCGAGTGCTAACCCACGCCCCCAACCCCCACCAACCCCGCCCCAACCCCCACCAACCCCGCCCCAACCCCCACCAACCCCGCCCCAATGCCCACCAACGCCCCCCAACCCCGCCCCAACCCCTGCCCCAGCGCCCACCAACCCCGCCCCAACGCCCACCAACCCCGCCCCAACCCCTGCCCCAACGCCCACCAACCTCGCACCAACCCCGCCCCAACGCCTACCAACCCCCCCAACCCCGCCCCAACGCCCACCAACCCCGTCCCAACCCCCACCAACCCCGCCCCAATGCCCACCAACGCCCCCCAACCCCGCCCCAACCCTCGCCCCAGCGCCCACCAACGCCCACCAACCCCGCCCCAACGCCCACCAACCCCGTCCCAACCCCACCCCAACGCCCACCAACCCCGCCCCAACGCCCCACGCCCACCAACCCCGCCCCAACGCCCACCAACCCCGCCCCAACGCCCACCAACCCCGCCCCAACGGACGTGCAACAACAGAGCTGAAGATTTCCTTCAGGACACCACCACACCTTCACCCTCGAACGACAACCCTGCAGTGTCAACCAGAAGCGATGCCCACCAAGAAGCGAAGGAAGACCAACGGCCCAAGCCTGACGAAAAATGTCAGGATAAAGAAGTAAGAAGAGCTGTGAAGTCAGGAGACCGACGAATGACGACCCAAGAATGAAGTAGCATCACCAACGACCACCAACCGAGGAGCCGAAGCCCGAGTTCGATGCCCAGGGATACGAATGAACATGGAGCGGCGTCGGACGGTATCGCTGCCACGTTCCCTGCTCCTAGTTCCTCCTTCTGTTCCCTGCTCCTAGTTCCTCCTTCTGTTCCCTGCTCCTAGCTCCTCCTCCACCGACTTGTACCCTGTTCCCTGCTCCTAGCTCCTCCTCCACCGACTTGTACCCTGTTCCCTGCTCCTAGCTCCTCCTCCTGAAACTTGTGAGGGACAGCCAGCCAAGAACAGGTCAAGGGCACAAGAGGACCTCTGCCTCTCACGGAAAAGAAAGTGGGCCTGGACCTGTTCCATCCCACTGTGTGTTGGGGGGGGGGAAGGAAGGGAGGGAGAAGGGAAGGATTAGTAAGGGATGGAGCAGGAAAGGCAGGAAAGTAAGGAGAGAAACGTGAACGAAAGGGAAGATAAAAAACAATTAATGGATATGAATGGAAATGGGAGAGAGAGGAAAAGGGGAAGTAATGGGGGGAGGAAAAGGGGAAGTAATGGGGGGAGGAAAAGCACAGGAGAAAAGTAGTAGCGACAATGATGCTTATGAAGAATAACGAAGATGTACATAATACTGAACATTTTCCTCCCCCACCTTCCCCCCCTCACCCCCACACACTTCTACCCTCCCCCAAAATCCCCCCACCATCCCTCCCCACTACAACCCCTCACCCCCACAAGAACATTTCCTCCCAAGTTCTACCCTCCCCCAAAATCCCCCCACCATCCCTCCCCACTACCACCCCTCACCCCCCACAACACAAGTGGGGGGGGGGGGGAGTCTCCCCTCCACCCACAAGCTCAACATCCGCCTTGACACCCACTGACAGGTTCGAACCCCACACCCCCCACCCTCACCCACCCCCCCACACCCATTATTCACCCCCACTCTCCCCCACCTTAACCTTCTTGACCCCCCATCCCGCCCCCCCCATACCAATACTGTCTTCACCTATTCATCTTAACAGGAGGCCTGGTCGGAGACCGGGCCGCGGGGACGTTGAGAGCCCCGAAATCCTCGCCAGGTAAGGTAACCTTTACCTATCCCACCTACACCGTCCTCCCCCCCCCCACACCCCAGCCCCCCCCCCCCCCCACTCTCGTCCACCGGAACTGCTTCAGGATTTTCAATTCTTTTTTTGTGTGTGTCCGTCTATTGTCGTGGGAGTCCTGGATACTTGTGGCTGGGAGGCCTTGAGGCGGCGTCCACGGTCACGTCCACCCACGTCCAGAGACGTCCAGTGACGTCCAGAGACGTCCGGAGACGTCCAGGCACGTCCAGTGACGTCCAGTGACGTCCAGAGACGTCCAGTGACGTCCAGTGACGTCCAGTGACGTCCAGAGACGTCCAGTGACGTCCAGTGACGTCCAGAGACGTCCGGAGACGTCCAGGCACGTCCAGTGACGTCCAGTGACGTCCAGAGACGTCCAGTGACGTCCAGTGACGTCCAGAGACGTCCAGTGACGTCCAGAGACGTCCAGTGACGTCCAGTGACGTCCAGAGACGTCCAGGTGTATATATATATATATATATATATATATATATATATATATATATATATATATATATATATATGTCGTACCTAGTAGCCAGAACTCACTTCTCAGCCTACTATTCAAGGCCCGATTTGCCTAATAAGCCAAGTTTTCCTGAATTAATATATTTACTATAATTTTTTTCTTATGAAATGATAAAGCAACCCTTTTCTCTATGTATGAGGTCAATTTTTTTTATTGGAGTTAAAATTAACGTAGATATATGACCGAACCTAACCAACCCTACCTAACCTAACCTAACCAATATTTATAGGTAAGGTTAGGTTAGGTAGCCAAAAAAAGCTAGGTTAGGTTAGGTTAGGTAGGTTAGATAGACGAAAAAACATTAATTCATGAAAACTTGGCTTATTAGGCAAATCGGGCCTTGAATAGTAGGCTGAGAAGTGCGTTCTGGCTATTAGGTACGACATATATATATATATATATATATATATATATATATATATATATATATATATATATATATATATATATATATATATATATATATACATATATACAAATAATGTCTCCCACTAAGACACCGTCAATGAGTCACTCGGGAATTTCCATCAATTAGAGGAATATACAAAAAAAAAATCAGGTGTGGCGAGGCGCCGCCCGGGGCGGGGCGAGTCGTCCTCACGACCTCATCAACAGTTAGCCAGGCATGACAGCCTGGTGAATCACAGGGTGCTGGTGAACAGTACCGCAGCGTGTCCTCCAGCCACGCCACCATGACGGTTGGGCATCACTACTACACCTTAAGTGAAGGTTTTACACCTGTACACGCCTAGTCCCCGAGCTGAGAGGCATGAGCTACGCGGAAAGATTAGTGGCACTGAACCTCACGACACTGGAAGACAGAAGAGTCAAGGGGAGACATGATCGCTACCTACAAAATTCTCAGTGGGAATTGTTAGAGTAGATAAAGATAAACTGTTTAACACGGGTGGTACGCGAACAAGGGGACACAGGTGGAAACTGAGTACCCACATCAGCCACAGGGACGTTAGAAGGAACCTTTTCAGTGTCAGAGTAGTTAACGGATGGAATGCATTAGGCAGTGATGTGGTGGAGGCTGACTCCATACACAGTTTTAAATGTAGATATGATAGAGCCCAGTAGGCTCAGGAACCTGTACACCAGTTGATTGACAGTTGAGAGGCGGGACCAAAGAGCCAGAGCTCAACCCCCGCAAGCACAACTAGGTGAGTACACAATAGAGGCTTTTGTTCGGGGTCAAGGCCCTCTACAGGGACACTTCCCACGGCCCTGACCCCTCTACAGGGACACTTCCCACGGCCCTGACCCCTCTACAGGGACACTTCCCACGGCCCTGACCCCTCTACAGGGACACTTCCCACGGCCCTGACCCCTCTACAGGGACACTTCCCACGGCCCTGACCCCTCTACAGGGACACTTCCCACGGCCCTGACCCCTCTACAGGGACACTTCCCACGGCCCCTGACCTCTACAGGGACACTTCCCACGGCCCTGACCCCTCTACAGGGACACTTCCCACGGCCCCCTGACCTCTACAGGAGTGGACAGGCTCCAGTAGGTGCTTGAGGGGAGGGAGGTGGTAGAGGCGGTCAATATAATGGCCAGGTCAAGTAATTCAGAGGCTGGCTAGCATGGGTATAACCCATCCCCTACCTATCCATGCCCCTCATACCCATCCCCTAGCACCACCCCCTTCCCTACCTACCCACCACCCTCTTATCCCCTATCCCCATAACTCTAACACGTATTCTTATCATAGGACGCTAAGACATGTTCTTCTCTAAGACATGTTCTTAGCGTAGGTTCGTATAATGTGAGAAATACCAGTCCCCCTTGAAGGGGCGTGAAGGAGAGGCTCAGGGGTCGTGGGAGCCGCCCCAGGGATGCTGCGTGACCAAGGTCCAAGATGAGAGGAGATCCATAATGGCTTAGCATCTTGCAAGAACCCGCAGATGACCCCGCCCCGTTTATCACCGCGGGGCGTGATGCTGCTGCTTCTTACGTGGGTACAGCTTACTGCCTGTACCGGTCAAGACGGGCATGGTGACTATGGCTGGTAGTCGTGCTTGGGCACTGTTCTTATATCCCAGTTCCTTGTTCTCATATCCCAGCTCCTTGTTCTTATATCCCAGCTCCTTGTTCTTATATCCCAGCTCCTTGTTCTTATATCCCAGTTCCTTGTCTTCATATCCCAGCTCCTTGTTCTTATATCCCAGCTCCTTGTTCTTATATCCCAGCTCCTTGTCTCATATCCCAGTTCCTTGTCTTCATATCCCAGTTCCTTGTCTTCATATCCCAGCTCCTTGTCTTCATATCCCAGCTCCTTGTCTTCATATCCCAGCTCCTTGTCCTCATATCCCGGTTCCTTGTCCTCATATCCCAGCTCCTTGTCCTCATATCCCAGTTCCTTGTCCTCATATCCCAGCTCCTTGTTCTCATATTCCAGCTCCTTGTCCTCATATTCCAGCTCCTTGTCCTCATATTCCAGCTCCTTGTCCTCATATTCCAGCTCCTTGTCCTCATATCCCAGCTCCTTGTCCTCATATCCCAGCTCCTTGTCCTCATATCCCAGCTCCTTGTCCTCATATCCCAGCTCCTTGTCCTCATATCCCAGCTCCTTGTCCTCATATCCCAGCTCCTTGTCCTCATATCCCAGCTCCTTGTCCTCATATCCCAGCTCCTTGTCCTCATATCCCGGCTCCTTGTCCTCATATCCCAGCTCCTTGTCCTCATATCCCAGCTCCTTGTCCTCATATCCCAGCTCCTTGTCCTCATATCCCAGCTCCTTGTCCTCATATTCCAGCTCCTTGTCCTCATATCCCAGCTCCTTGTCCTCATATTCCAGCTCCTTGTCCTCATATTCCAGCTCCTTGTCCTCATATTCCAGCTCCTTGTCCTCATATTCCAGCTCCTTGTCCTCATATCCCAGCTCCTTGTCCTCATATTCCAGCTCCTTGTCCTCATATTCCAGCTCCTTGTCCTCATATCCCAGCTCCTTGTCCTCATATTCCAGCTCCTTGTCCTCATATTCCAGCTCCTTGTCCTCATATCCCAGCTCCTTGTCCTCATATTCCAGCTCCTTGTCCTCATATTCCAGCTCCTTGTCCTCATATTCCAGCTCCTTGTCCTCATATCCCAGCTCCTTGTCCTCATATCCCAGCTCCTTGTCCTCATATTCCAGCTCCTTGTCCTCATATTCCAGCTCCTTGTCCTCATATTCCAGCTCCTTGTCCTCATATTCCAGCTCCTTGTCCTCATATTCCAGCTCCTTGTCCTCATATTCCAGCTCCTTGTCCTCATATCCCAGCTCCTTGTCCTCATATTCCAGCTCCTTGTCCTCATATTCCAGCTCCTTGTCCTCATATTCCAGCTCCTTGTCCTCATATTCCAGCTCCTTGTCCTCATATTC